TCAGATAAATGATTATGGAACATTAATAGATAGAAAGTATGCAACAAACACTTGCAAATGTATGTCTACTTAAATAAAATATATTTTTTAAAAGTGGTATCAAACTGCATTAATTCTGTGCCCCCTTAGTCACAAGAATCAGCTGACAGAGCAAAATTAATTGCATGACTTTGCCTGGGGTGTGCCTTCAGTCTTCACATTGGTTCATGGAAGAAGACACATAGTGTTCCCACCTTGGCAAACTTTGGCCCTCCAGGTGTTTTGGACTTGAGCTGTTAGGAATTGTGGGAGCTAAAGTCCAAAACACCTGAGGGCTGAAGCTTGCCCATTCCTGTTCTATAAAACCCTTTTTCCTATTCAGAAGAGTTTGCCTTTCCATACAGAGAGTGTCATTGTGGTTTTTCCATCAGATTTAAGAAGGGCCGATTGGATTTTAATCATAGCTTAAATTGCCAATGAGGAAGAGTCAATTTTGTCAGCACCTTTCTTGGCATCTGTCTTTTCTATCCAAAAGTGAAAATATGTATTTTTGTTTGTTGTTTAAGGACTCTTACATGGCTTGATGGATGTACTTTGGATACTTTGATTGTGCTTTTCCTGCATGACAGGCTTTTGGATTAGATGGCTCATGTGATAACTTCCAACTCTATTATTCTATGATTCTATGTGGACCAGACTTGGTACACATACTCTTCGTTATCTAATTGGTGGAGTTTATAACTATAAAATCATAGAATCATAGAATCAAAGAGTTGGAAGAGACCTCATGGGCCATCCAGTCCAACCCCATTCTGCCAAGAAGCAGGAATATTGCATTCAAATCACCCCTGACAGATCCAGCCTCTGTTTAAAAGCTTCCAAAGAAGGAGCCTCCACCACACTCCGGGGCAGAGAGTTCCACTGCTGAACTGCTCTCACAGTCAGGAAGTTCTTCCTCATGTTCAGATGGAATCTCCTTCTTGTAGTTTGAAGCCATTGTTCCGCGTCCTAGTCTCCAAGGAAGCAGAAAACAAGCTTGCTCCCTCCTTCCTGTGGCTTCCTCTCACATATTTATACATGGCTATCATATCTCCTCTCAGCCTTCTCTTCTTCAGGCTAAACATGCCCAGTTCCCTAAGCCTCTCCTCATAGGGCTTGTTCTCCAGACCCTTGATCATTTTAGTCGCCCTCCTCTGGACACATTCCAACTTGTCAATATCTCTCTTGAATTGTGGTGCCCAGAATTGGACACAATATTCCAGGTGTGGTCTAACCAAAACAGAATAGAGGGGTAGCATTACTTCCCTAGATCTAGACACTATGCTCCTATTGATGCAGGCCAAAATCCATTGGCTTTTTTTGCCGCCACATCACATTGTTGGCTCATGTTTAACTTGTTGTCCACGAGGACTCCAAGATCTTTTTCACACGTACTGCTCTCGAGCCAGGCACACCCCCATTCTGTATCTTTGCATTTCATTTTTTCTACCAAAGTGGAGTATCTTGCATTTGTCCTGTTGAACTTCATTTTGTTAGTTTTGGCCCATCTCTCTAATCTGTCAAGATCGTTTTGAATTCTGCTCCTGTCCTCTGGAGTATTGGCTATCCCTCCCAATTTGGTGTCGTCTGCAAACTTGATGATCATGCCTTCTAAGCCTTCATCTAAGTCATTAATAAAGATGTTGAACAGGACCGGGCCCAGGACGGAACCCTGCGCACTCCACTTGTCACTTCTTTCCAAGATGAAGAGGAAGCATTAGTGAGCACTCTCTGTGTTCGTCCACTTAACCAATTACAGCTCCACCTCACCGTAGTTTTGCCTAGCCCACATTGGACTAGTTTCCTTGCCAGAAGGTCATGGGGGACCTTGTCGAAGGCCTTACTGAAATCCAGGTACGCTACATCCACGGCATTCCCCGCATCTACCCAGCTTGTAACTCTATCGAAAAAAGAGATCAGATTAGTCTGGCATGACTTGTTTTTGATAAATCCATGTTGACTATTAGCGATGACCTCATTTGTTTCTAAGTGTTTGCAGACCACTTCCTTAACAATCTTTTCCAGAATCTTGCCCGGTATCGACGTGAGGCTGACCGGACGGTAGTTGTTTCGGTCATCCATCCCTTTTCTTACATACCTTTTATTTTTAACACTGTCTGCATTGGTGCCCCATAAACCTCAGTTGCAAGCGCAAGAGATCAGAATATAGATCAGGCATAGGCAAACTTCGGCCCTCCAGGCCCCTCAACTCCCACAAGTCTGTGTGTTGAAATCCAAAACACCTGAAGGACTGAAGTTTGTTCATGCCTAATCTATGCTCATTGTTTAATAAAACATATTCAGATATTCAGGCTTCATTAGAAGATAGGTACACACTAACCACTTATGCTGGATTGTTTTCAAATTAATTCAGTTAATCAAAAATGGCTTTCCCTTTTTTTTTTTGCATGTATTCCATCATCACAAAATCTATTTTCATTTATCTTATTAATTCTTGCTTTTAGAGAAAATTAGGCTGAGTGAACATGGCCTAGTGGTTTGAGCGTTGGGTGGCAACTCTGGACACCAGGACACGGCCCCTTCCTTGGCCTTGAAAGTCCACTGGCCGACCGTGAGGAAGTCACACACTCTTATCCCCATGAAACCCTGGGATAAGGTCATCTTAGGGTTGCCATAAATCTTCAACGACTGCACCAGAGGCAGAGCGAGAGAGCTTCATGTGCTGTTATCTCCTCTCCCAAAGTATTGCCATCCTATTCATTCACAGAAATTAAATTAGAAGCTGTCTACTTGGTATCCATGATGATGTATTTGACCCAGTCTCTTTCGTTTTTTGATGTTAAGTTGAAATAAAACATTCTCATCCAATTTTTAAATTTTATTTTAGAAAAAAAATTAATCAATGGTTGACATAGATTTAATAGAAACTACACAGTTTCTTGGCTCACGGCCAGACCTTGATTGAGATTTGTAGATATATGTATTTCTCTCTTTTCCTGAAGAATCTCATTTACAGCTAACCATGCATTTCCCAATAGGAACAATAACTCATTGTTTAACAGTTTTATTGTATTTTAACTTTTATAATCATGACATAAATAACATTGTTTTTTTTAATTTTTGTATTTGTGCGTATACGTCTTGTTTGTAAATTCGATTGTATTGTGTCATGTCATTATCAGCCGCCTGAGTCCCTATGGGTAGAAAGATGGGATAAAGATGATGACGATGATGATATTAGTAGCAGTCTCTCATGGTCCAAAATGATGGGATCAGGGAGCTGTGAGGCCTGACTGGTACAAATCCCATTGGATGTTGGTTTTCAGATCTGAAAACTGGATACCCTCTGTTGCTCTGATGTTTCTGTTTGGGTAAAATGGCTTTGAATGATGCTCTTGTACTGCATAGGTGTGCCATGAGCATTTTAGCTCTTGCTGCCTGATTTCTCCTTTATGCTCTTCCTCCTTCCTTGGCATGCTTGCTTCCCATTCATGGGTTTGATGTGGTAATAGAAAAACAACTCTGTATTCAATTTAACAAGGCTATGGAAAGCATATGAAAATAGCATTTGAATCCCCTGAGGGTGTGTTTAACAGGATTCCCTAGTCAGCCACTCATCCTCCATCTAATGTGGGAATAGGGCAACCCTCCAGTGCTGTTGAACTGGAGCTCCCATCCAAGCTCAGGGCTGCAGCCTAGCTAGAGCACTGCTCCTTTAACTGTGGGCCATGACCCCAAATGGGGTCCCATTCATTCTATGTCGGGGTAATAGGAAAATAGGCCACAGTAAATAGTTTCTGAATACCACCCATTTCCACAAATCTGTTAAGAACAAGGGGCAGTGTTTACAAAGGACCCTGCGGGGAGTCAGAATATAAACGGTGACTCTCAAATTGTGAATTCCCTCTCAAGGGTCTTCAGTGCATCCTTTTTTCATCCTCAGCATTAGGATTCTGGCATTCACGTTTCATATGAAACTTAAGTAGAATTTAGTGCTCAAAATGGGATGTTTTTTGAAATTGAATATTGTGCTAGTAAAGATTGGTTTAGTGAGGCTGCTTGTTCTGGACTGCTGTGAGGGACATCTGGAATAATAATAATAATAATAATAGTAATAATAATAATAGTAATAATAATAATAATAATAATAATAATAATATTCGCTGATACATCATACAGTCCTAGACCCTTGGGAAGTGTCTGACATGTGATCCAATACAATAATAATAATAATAATAATAATAATAATCTTTATTTATACCCCGCCATCATCTCCCCAATGGGGCCAAGCCCATACAACATATTACAGCAATAAAATCAAAGCATATACAACAAACAACAACAGCAACAACATCAAAATTACATAAAGAGAAAAAAACAGTCATAAAATAACATTCTAATAAACACAATCACAGTCACAATCAACACAGCCAGTAGAGTGATCTTGTTTTCTGTGGACTCATCTTGTTGTGTTAACAACAACAACAACAACTATTGTTTTATTTCTTACTTGCCTCTCCTCGTGGCTCAAGGTGGGTCAGCACAGTCAAAACACGTAGACATTGTAAAAATTCTATAAACATACATATTAAAATGTATTCCTATAAAATATATATTAAATACACAGGGCAGGGATTAAAACACCGTGCACAAATTTAAAGTACATGCTTAAAACTGGCTTTAAAAGACATGGAAGTAATTATTAAGGGCCATAGAGCTTCAAAATTGACAGATGCGGCCCCTGGGCACGATTCTCTGTAGCATTTCCTCAAGCAGACTCTTTACAATGAATGGAAACTGCAAAGCATCATCACACTTCTGTGTATATGTGTGTGTAATTATATTCCTTCAAGTTCTTTGTTGATTTATGACAACTCCACACATTTCATTGGGTTTTCTTAGGCAAGAGATGTATTTATACCAGTTCTGAAGTACAGCCTCAAGGGTAGAAGCGCCTGAGACCGCCTCTGATTTGGTATGGAAATCATCACCTCATGCAGTCTTTTTTCTTCTTGCCATAGGCCCAGAGAAGTGTGGACCAGGACCATGCGCTCTTCCTGTGGATGGCCTCGCTAGCGCTGTGAGGGGCTTCATTACCTGGCCCTTGGACACCTGGAAGCGGAGGAGCGGAGATAGCGGTGCCCCACTCCTGTTCCCCCTTTTGGGGGGCAGGGAGGACAGAGGAACACAACACTGAGGGACAATGGATCCTCTGACCCGCCCCGGGGGCGATATCATGCGTCGGAACCCGCAGCAGGATTATGAGCTGGTTCAGCGGGTGGGGAGCGGCACCTATGGCGACGTCTACAAGGTGAGAGCCCCAGTGACCCCCTTCCATTGCCAGTAAAAGTCCTCCTTCATATATATTTCCTGCCCAAGAAGTTTCGTCTCCTTGGTGAGGTCCTGTTTGGTATCCCAGCACAAAGGAAAGAGTGGGCCCTTCTTTGTAGTGACACCTCAGTTATTTTATTCATCTCCCTTTAAGAGTCCCAGTTAGTACCAGTATTAATGTCATTTCTCTGTCAAATAAAAATATGGCTTTTATTTATGGCTGGCCCCCTCCCTGTCCAGGGACGACCTAGCTACGGTGATCCAGGCCACGGTCATCTCAAGACTGGACTACTGTAACGCCCTCTACATTGGCCTCCCTCTGTCGGTGATTCGGAAGCTCAAGTTGGTACAAAATGCAGCTGCTCGGCTTCTTGCGGGAATTCCGATGAGATGCCACATAACACCAATCTTACTACAGCTGCATTGGTTACCAATTGAGCACCGGATCACTTTCAAAGTGATGGTACTCACCTTTAAGGCCTTGCATGGTCTGGGGCCAATGTATCTGAGGGATCGTCTCACCCCCTACCAACCCCAGAGATCCCTCCGTTCTGAGGACCAAGATCTATTGGAGGTCCCCAGTGTCAAGACCTTGCGTCTAACGGCAACCAGACGCAGAGCCTTCACAGCAGTGGCGCCATCAGTCTGGAATGCTCTGCCACCTGAGGTTCGTGCCCTGCGGGACTTACCAGCTTTCCGCAGGGCATGTAAGACATACCTGTTTCGACAGGCTTTTAATATTTGATAGTGTTGTTTTTAAATTGTTTTAAATTGCTTTTAAATTTTGTTAGATTTTAGCTATTCTTGTAAGCCGCTCCGAGCCCCAGGGGAGTGGCGGCATATAAGTTTAAATAATAAATAAATAAATAAAAAATAAATTTAAAGCAGACCTGGGCAAACTTGGATCCTCCAGGTGTTTTGGACTCCAACTCCCATTCTTACTCCCTGCAGAGTCCTCTATAAACACTGGACCTTGTTCCTAACAGATCTGTGGAAATGGGTGGAGTTCAGGAATTGTGGAAGTCCAAAACACCTGGAGGGCCCAAGTTTTAAACCCTTTGGAATCAATGATTTCATCCAGTTTGTGAATATCTGAAGTTTTCATTTGTTACATAATTTAAAGTGGTTTTGCCTCTCCCTTATTTTTCCTGTTTTTTTCCCCCTGTTTCACATTTTTTATTGTTTCAATTCATTGTTAAATATCTGGATTTGAAGTAGAATACAAATACAGGATGAACATCCCATATCTGGAATTCCGAGATCTGAAATACTCCAAAAGCTGAAATAGGTGGCTGAGATAGTGATAACTTTGCGTTCTGATGGTTTAATGTATACAGACTTTGTTTCATGCACAAAATTATTAATAGTATTATGTATAAAATTACCTTCAGGCTATGTGCATGAGGTGTATATGAATTTCATGTTTAGACTTGAGTCCCATCTCCCAGGATATCCCATTATGTAAGTCTATGCAAATGCAGGTATTCCAGAATCAAAACACTTCTAGTCCCAAGCATTTTGGATAAGAGATACTCAATCTGTTTGGTAATAAAATAAACAATATAAAGTTTGGCTTTGTACTCGTGTATAATTGAGGGAAGATTTTATTTTGTGCCAGGAAAGCGATGAAGTCCTTCAGGAGGGTTGATTTTTTTCCCAGAAGCCCTTAAACAGACAAAACTGAAATGCATTATTAATTATACTTAGCTTATTACATTTTAGTTCTGCAACTTGGAAATGTTAAAGTTAACATTAACATTAATTCAGAAATTAAATTGACTTCGGTGACTTCAGTAACATTTATTGAATTTAGTAAAATCTCAACATAGTTTCCTTGTGTTAATTGTTAATACTGTGACAGGTTGGTTTTGATTCTTTTTTTTAAGCAATCAACATTACTTACAACTGCCAGGTTGACACCTTAAACTATGCACTAAATCTTTAAGGCCTTATATGGTCTGGGGCCGGCGTACCTAAGGGCCCCCTTATCCCCCTACCAACCCCAGAGATTACTCTGGTCTGAAGACCAAAATCTGCTTGCAGTCCCTAACATCCGGACCTATCATTTGTCATCTACCAGGCATAGAGCCTTCTCAATCGTGGCCCCTTATTTATGGAATTTATTTATTTATTTACTTTGCTTGTATACCGCAGTTTCTCAGCCCGTAGGCGACTCAACGTGGTTCACAGCATAGCAAAAACAGTCATAACAAAATAGCAGAACGATTTAAAAACCATGAAAGCACAATATACAATAATGGCACATCAACAACAACACAACAACGTCTCGTAACTAAAATCGTAATCCAATTCGTCGTCTATAATTCCGTTCCTATATTTATTTATTTTTATTGAGTTTTCTGTGCATAAGTTAAAAAAAAACATATCATCATATTCATTGCACCGTTTATCTGAATGCCTGTTCGAACAACCAGGTTTTTAGCTTTTTCCGAAACACCATTAACGTCGGAGCTGATCTTATGTCCATGGGAAGGGCGTTCCACAGCCGAGGGGCCACCACAGAGAAGGCCCTGTCCCTCGTCCCCGCCAGCCGTGCTTGTGATGCAGGCGGGATCGAGAGCAGGGCCTCCCCAGAAGATCTTAGAGTCCTGGTGGGTTCATAGGCAGAGATACGTTCGGATAGGTAGCTTGGGCCCGAACCGTTTAGGGCTTTAAAGGCCAACGCCAGCACTTTGAATTGAGCCCGGTAGCAATCGGCAGCCAGTGGAGCTGGTGCAGCAGAGGAGTTGTGTGCTCCCTGCGCTCCGCTCCTGTTAGTATCATAGCTGCCGCGCGTTGGACTAGCTGAAGCTTCCAAGCCGTCTTCAAAGGCAACCCCACGTAGAGAGCGTTGCAGTAGTTTAGGCGGGATGTAACAAGAGCGTGGACTACCGTGGCCAAGTCAGACTTCCCAAGGTACGCCTTGGAATACCTTGCCGATTGAAACTCGAACCATCCGAGACCTACTTGCTTTTCGGAAAGCCTGTAGAACTTTCCTTTTCCGACAAGCTTTTGATGGGTGAACAATCCGGGCTATGCCTGTTCTCGCTGCCTATTGTTATTGTTATGGTCATTTTTAAAGCTATTTGTATTGTTTTAATCTGTTTCTGTAAACCGCTCCCAGCCAAATTGGGAGTAGCTATAAACAAGTTGAATAAAATAAATAAATAAATAAATAATAAAGCAGGGGTCCTCGAGGTTTTTAAACAGAGGGCCAGGGTCTCTCAAACTGTTGGAGGGCCGGATTATAATTTGAAAAAGCATGAATGAATTCCTATGCACACTGCACATATCTTATTTGTAGTGCAAATATATATATATTTAAAAACAATACAATAATTAAAATGAAGAACAATTTTAACCAATATAAACATATTAGTATTTCAATGGGAAGTGTGAGCCTGATTTTGGCTGATGAGATAGGATCGTTGTTGTTGTGCGCTTTCAAGCAGTTTCAGACTTAGGTTGACCCTGAGTGAGGGCCAGGTAAATGACCTTGGAGGGCCGTATTTGGCCCTCGGGCCTTAGTTTGAGGACCCTTGCACTAAAGTATGAAACTAAAATAACTGAAATCATTCATTGCTTCATGGCCTGTTAACTCCATTGTCACTTAGCACTTAAAATAACGAATTCGGAATTAAAAAGTGTAACAAATCAATGGTTATGAATTAACACTTAATAAAATTGCTTCCAAATGGGAGTTGTTTCCCCAGGCTTTGACTTCGTGCTGTTTTTCTTCTTAAGTTGAATTTGTATGTAAGTCAGAATAGGTGCATTTTTAAAGTGTAACTTCATCCAAAATATATCTTTTAGTTTTGGATGGCAAAGGGAAGGGTTCACACCCCTGGGGTATCTGTTGCTGTTTGTGCTCCTGTTTCTATCCCTGCAATAATTGGAATTTTGGAAAATGTGGCTTGTGGTAGAAACAAAGACTGGAGATAAAGCTCCAATGAAGACCCCTTTTCCCCATGATAACAACTCTTTCAGGAATAGATTTTCCTTCGAAGGAGAAGATTTCTCTCATTTTATGTTGTCTCGCCCCATTCTTAACTGTGAGTTGTTTGTAGGTTGGATATTTGCAAGTCAGCTACTGCCTATAATTGTTGGAAGTGAACGTATCTATCTATCCGAACGTATCTCGGCCTATCAGCCCACCAGGACCCTAAGATCTTCTGGGGAGGCCCTGCTCTGTATCCCGCCTGCTTCACAGGTGCGGCTGGCGGGAACGAGAGACAGGGCCTTTTCTGTGGTGGCCCCTCGGCTTTGGAATGCCCTCCCCATAGAGGTGAGATCAGCCCCTTCGCTGATGGTATTTCGAAAAAGGTTGAAGACATGGATGTTTAAACAAGCATTCGATTAATCTGGTGCAACGAAACTGATGAACAAGGATTGGTTAATCACAGACGACGAAATTGGATTGCGACTACAATTAAGAGATGCATTGGATTATTATTGGTGGCCCAATAATATTGTGTATTGTGTATGTGGTTTTATGCTTTTTAATGGAATATTGCTGCTTGTCGTTGTGTTGTAAACCGCGTTGAGTCGCCGATTTAGGCTGAGAAACGGCGGTATATAAGCACAGTAATAAATAAATAAATAAATAAATAATAAGAAGTGTCAACCATTACATAGAGAGCAGTAGGGACAGAGAGAACCCTGTAGTGTCCATGCCCGCTGTCTTGTTTCCACCTGCTTTCTCGATCTAGGTTAAGGGGTTGTGGCATTAGGAAAGTTGAGAAACACTGAACTATATTCAGCTGAGGAACTGAGCAGCATCCATGTGCCCGAAGAAGTGCCCTGTGGAACACCAAGTTTATTGTGAAATCAGGTCATCTTTCATCGCCCCGGCGGGAGTGCTTTGGCTCAGTTTAAGCTTCAACTTGTACGTATCAGTTCTTCATGAATGGACCCGTTCAGACGTCTGACTTGATCAAGTGTGACTGGGGATCACGTTGCATTACATGCGGTATTTAGAGT